TTTTTTTTTTTTTTTTTTTTTTTTTTGTCTTTTGTCTTTTTCCGTGTCCGGCAACGGATCGCAACCCTCAGTGTTGCCCCCGTACCGGACCGGGGACCGGCAACGGGATCGCAACCCACTCATGAGGTTTTTTGTGAGGACTTTGTGGGCTAATGTGATTGGTACAAAATATGTCTTTAATAAATATTAGCTGCTATTTGTTATTCTTGTCATTACAAGTTAGTAGTATTTGAGCTAATGATGAAACATGAATATGCAGTTTATTAGGATGAGCTTTCTTAGACTTGACAATTTGCCAGACCTTCCAGGGATTCAGGTTAGTTGTTTGTGTGAACTACATATCTATTATACATATTGCTTCTTTATTTCCTTTGTCTTTTTATTTTATTCGTATCACTGACACATCTGAGTTTTAGGCACTGTTTTTCAACTGAGGCACTATTGATATTTTGGGACAGATAATTCTTTGTTTGGAATTTACAGCAATGTGAATGCTGTCCTTTGCATTGTAGAATGTTTAGCAGCACGCATAGCCCCTATCTCTGGATGCCAGTAGCAGCATCCCCCTAGTTTTGAGAACCAAAACTCTCTAGACATTGTCAGGTGTCACGCTGGGGGCCAAAATCACCACTGATTGAGAACCACTGATTTACTCTCTGACATTACATATGGGCACATTCAAAGTTGTTCCCAGCACAGCTCATGATGAATACAAAACAATTTGTTTATTACAAAACTGTGATCCAATGTATTCACTTTGGCACATTGCACATCTATTTTAGTCTTGATACTAAATATACTTCCTATCGCCAAATACCTAATTGTTTAATTTTTCATATTAGCTCTTTCCATATTCTTTGAATATGGTACTATTTGTGAGTCTCTAAATTTATCCTGCACTTCATGTTGGTTTCTTTTTTGATGTTATTTTCATCCTTTTTTCTTTATATCCTTTACAGCACCCAGTAGAGCATGTTTTGGAAACTAGTGTTTAGTATGTATTTGAGTTGAAAGTTTCCCAATTAATACTCCATCTAGATGTAGCCTTAGATTATATATTTCAGTATGTAGATTGAAATATTTTTCTAGTAGTTATCTCATTTGATTTTGCAGTTTATATGAATAAATGTAAATAAATTCTATAGTTTTACATTGTGACTTTAAGTTTATAAAATAATATTTAATAGTGAGTATTACTGATCTTGCCTAAAATTATTCTTTCAAGTTATTCTAGTGAGGTGTGTTAATTGGCTAGTAATAAGTGTAGATATTGCAAAATTATTAAATAGTTCGACACTTTGGGCTTTTTAGTGTTTGTAAAGTTCTCAGTATTCCATATTGTTAAAAAACATGTAGCTAGCTGAGTGTGTTGCAATTTGTGCCAAATGTTTTAAGAGGTATTTTTTGTGATTCACAAAGTATGTTATGCTTAACCTGAAAGTACTAACTTTGTGCTTTTCTCTGTATTATAGGCATATGGTTGATGATATGCTAAGTGCTGATGATGTCAGTTGTAGTAGCTCCCAGGTCAGTGCAAAATCAGAAAAAAATATGGCTGATTTTGATGGTGAAGAATCTGGATGTGAAGAGGAGTTAGTTCAGATTAATTCTCATGCAGAACTAACATCTCATCTCCAACAACATCTTCCCAATTTAGCTTCCATTTACCATGAACATCTTAGTCAAGGTAAGGTTCTTTAGTAAATAAAATATATTATGTTTTTCAAAACAGGAATAATTTATATTACATTGTTAAAGGAATCAATAGTGTTGTAATACTTAAATGCTTTTGCCAAAATAACTTTCATATGGTAGTTTTCTTTCTAAGAAAACAGAATTATTGTAAATACTCTGTCATAAGTATAAGTAAGGCTTGCAGTTCTATCAAGAGATGTTCACCTGGAAAAGGAAATGTACAGTAATATGTGGGAAAACTAAAGCTTTATATTTTAGAAAATATATATATTACTGTATTAGATTTTATATTCAGAAATCTTAGGACCTAAAAGTAATAGGAGACAATAAAAGATCTAATACTATACGGTTCCATTTATATGCAATGTATAGAATAGGCAAATCTGCAGAGGCGGAAAGTAGATTAGTGGTTGCTTGTGGTTGTGGAGGCTTGGGGGGAAATAAGGAGAGGTGAATGCTAAAGGTCAAGGTACTTCTTTTATCTGTGGTGATGAAAATGTTTGAGAAAGGATTGTTTCAATAAGTCTAACTCTTAAAAAAAAGTAATAGGACATGACCAGACTTGAGAGAATGGAGGAATGGGGGAGGGTAAAGAGTAGTAGAAGATTAATGAAGAAAGGGAGAAAAAATAAGAGAGGGAGAAAAAATAAGAGAGGGAAAAACAGTTTTAGAATTGACAGTTTAAAGGCCTTTATCCAACCTCTTGCTTGATTAGGTACCTTCAGCACATGCTAGTCTAGTAAATGGGTTTTGGGATGTCAGTACATTATAACAGAAGTAAACCTGCTGGATTGGGTTTATGCTGAAAGATAATGATCAGGCTTGGAGACACAACTTTCACCTTGACACAGTTAGTGATTTTAAATGTTCCTTGTACACGATCTAGATAAAGTTACTGTGACTCTTTCATTGTGTTGTTGTGGTTGTTAAGAAATGAATAGGTTAAGATTGAGGTCATCAGATTGAATTTGATGCCGTATTTATTAAATCGTTAACCATTCTTCTCTTATCCCATATTTTTCTTTTATATATTCAGGATTCTACATATTTTTTACCACATGGAGTTAGAAATTGAACAAAATGATTATATATATTAATGCTCTCTAAATTCACCTTGTATTACAGTGATTTTAGTACTATAAAGAACTCTTCCAACACAGTGAGACAAACAATCAAATTTAAATATGGGCAAAAGATTTGAGCACATATTTTATAAAAGACGATACATAGAAATGGTCAGTAAGTACATTCTCAATGTCTCTAGTCATCTGGGAAATGGCAAGTTGAAACCACAGTGAGGTACACCTATTGGAAAGGGTAAAATTAAAGGCTGAAAGTATCAAGGACTGACACTAAGGATGTGGAATAACTGGAACTCTTATACATTGCTGTTTAGTGTAAAATATAACTGCTTTGGAGAATTGTTTTATCCTGCCCTAGGTTTTTACCCAAGAGAAATGAAAATGTCTGCAAAAAGATTTCTATGTGAATGTTTATACATGCTGCTTTATTTATAAGACCCTCAACTGGAATTAACTAGTATTACATATAGTAGAATTCTACTCACCAATAAAAAGGAAAGAACTACTGATACATGCAACACCATGGATGAATATAAAAAAAAAAAATGAGCAAAAGAAGTTAGAAACAGAAGAGTACATACCATATATCATTTACATGCACCTCTACAACAGTCAAAAGTGATTTGTAATGATAGAAATCTGTTCAGTGATGGTCTAGGGTCTGGGGGTAGGGATTGATTGTAAAGGGTCACAAGGGGACTTTCTGGAGTGATAGAAATGTACTCTGTTTTGATTTTTGTATGTAATTATATTTTAATAAAATCAACTTTAAAAGGTAAATACCACCCCCACCCCACCAAAAAAAGACAAGCCATAGACTGGAAGAAGTACTTGAAAATTATATACCTAATAAAGGATTTGTATCCAGAATATGTAAGAATTTGTACAACTCAGTAGTAACACAACCTAATTAAAAAGTGGCAAATGATTTATTTCACCAAAGAAGGTACACAAATGGCAAATAAGCACATGAAAAGATACTTAACATCATTAGTCATTAGGAAAATGTAAATTATAAACCATAATGAGATTTCACTGCATACCTACTAGAATGGCTGAAGTTAAAAAGAGTGATGACACTATGATGTTGAGGAGGTTATGTAGGAACAGGACCTGGTACTCTCATATGCTGCTAGTCGGAGTGTAAAATGGCACAGCCCATTTGGAAAGCAGTTTGGCAGTTTCATTCATTCATTCATTCATTCATTTATTTTTCAAATCAACATTACTAGCATATATTGTTAGGGAGTGTAAAATGGCACAGCCCATTTGGAAAGCAGTTTGGCAGTTTCATTCATTCATTCATTCATTCATTCATTTATTTTTCAAATCAACATTACTAGCATATATTGTTACAAATCGTAATTATTCTTTATGCCCCTTGTCCAATCTCTCCCCTTCCCCCATTCCCTCCCCCCTCTAATTAGCCTAGATTACTTCTCTCCTTCTGAAAGAATAATGGTTACTCTGTTAATTTGTTACCTAGATGATCTGTCCAATGCCAAGAGGTGTGATCAGGTCCCCCAATATTATCATAGAGCAGATGCTTTTTTCTGTCACTTTGAAATGGGCTTTGTGGAGAGAAACATCTTCTTTTCTTTGTCTCTGCTGGTGACTGTCCTTGTGTGAATGCACTCCAGTGGTTGGTGGACCATCTGCGTGGTGGTTGTGGCATTGAGCCGCTTTCATGGTAGGCATAGTTATTGTGGTGGCTGTGGTGGGCCACCCACATGGGGGTGAAGTTTTTGGCATGCTCCTGGGCGCTGGCAGTGTGCCTGGTTGTGGGGTATGTCTGGTCTCCTTCTCCATGTCTCTGGTCCCTGGGCGCCCTGAGGCGCTGGCTCCATGTGCCTGGTTGTGGGAGGGAGGTCTGGTTCTCTTCTCCATGTCTCGGGTCCCTGGGCAGGCCTCGAGGTGCTGGCGCAGTTTGCATGGAAGTGGGAGTGGGGTGCAATCCCTGGATCCAAGCCTCTGTTTCCCAGGCAGGCTCGAAGGTGCTGGTGGTGTGCCAGGGCCGGAACTAATTTTTTGTCCTTTGCTTACTTCTTCTTTTTTTTTCCTTTTTGTCTTTTTTCGTGTCCGGCAACGGATCGCAACCCTCGGTGTCACGCCCGTACCGGACCAGGACC